CAGACACCGACTGGCTGTCCTGACATTCTATCCAGACTGGCTACAAAAGGCAGGGGAGGGGTTTCCCACAATCTCCTCCTCGGGTGTGATAGTTCGCAAGAACGACTCACAGGACCCAGGAAAGCGCTTCACTTACTATTAACAGTTATCATAAAGGATACCCTTGTTACAGGGGCCACTCAGCTCCTGGCTGAGGCTCCCCAAAATTGATATCGAACTCACAGGTCCAGCTTCCTGCCCCAAACAGAAAACCCAAATGACCCGAAAGTCAAGTGTTGGTGAAATGTAAGTCAGCTTTTATTTAGGAAGACCAGTGACCTGAGGATGTTAGGCTCACCCATCTCTCCAGCAAACCTGATGGCCAGGCTAATGAAAAGCAGGGGGGGAGGGGCACGTGAGCAGCAAGGGCTTCATGCAAGGTCTCAGGTGCAAGGTCTCACCAAGACTCTGTCTGGTTTCTGCTCCCATCTGTACTGTCATCTCAGGGTCTGGGTAGTATGTGCAAGTCTGCAGCTTCAGGCTGGCTGGAAAACAACTCTACATTCATGTCAATAATGTCATGTTGACCCATAACCAAGGTTCAAAACATCAAATAACCATGGGAAAAGAAGGAACTCAGAGAAATACATACCAAGAGAACAACTGTGTCTTTTAAAAATCTTTTAGAGCCCATGTGCCTTTAGGTTCCAACATGGCTTTGGTCCCGCTCACTCCAACAGCGTTCAGGAACAGCCAGCAGAAGAGATGCACAGGGCCAGGCGAGAGGTGGGGGTGTATGGGACTTCCATGCCCTATCCCTGTACCCCAAGCACCTCCACGTGTCCACCAGCCTGGAAGCTCTCCAAACTCCTTTGTTTAGGGGGTTTTATGGAGGTTCCATTATGTAGGCGTGATTGGTTAAATCATCGGCCACTGGTGATTGACTCCATCTCTGGCCCATTTCCCCTACTTGGAAGGGGCCCGTCTGGAAGTTCCAATCTTCTAATCGAGGCTTGGTCTTTCTGGTGACCAGCCCCCATCCTGATGCTATCTAGGGGCCCACCAAGAGTCACCTCATTAGCATAAACTCAGGTGTGGTTGAAAGGGGATTGTTAGGAGTAATGAAAGATTCTCCTCTCACGCCTACTGCTCAGGGAATTCCGGGGATTTTAGAAGCTGCGTGCCAGGAACCGAGGAGGAAGACCAGATACGTGTATATGCATTGTTATATCACCCCCCCCCCCCCTTGTATTGACTTCTGGCCCCCCACACCTGGCCTTCAGAAGGTATTTGTTGAATGAATGCATGAATGGTAGGAGATGAGACAACCCTGTATCTGAGTGTTTTTCTAAGGCTCTAAGGCATCTTGGATCATTCTTAAGGCACACTCAGTGCTTTCTGTTTAAGAAGCGAGACCCAGAGGGGCCGGTCTGTGCCGCGAGTAGACACGCGGGGCGCCTTGTCCCCAGTCTCCTCTCTGTTGACACTGTCTGCTCCCCCCTCCCCATGTCTTTTTATTTTCTTTGCTTGAAAGAAGATACCTTTGCTCTTGTTCAGGAATGTTTTGCCCATTCTGTTAGGTACAGATTATGTACTTACTGTCTTGGAGCCTCATAGTCCATGTTTTTGTGTTTGTTTGTTTCGTTTTGTTTTATCTAATTAGTCTTTCTGCAGCAGAAAGACAGAAGGATGTGAACTCACCCCCCACCAAGCTCCTAGTTGGCGTCTCATTTTTCACCAGCTTGGCCTTGTCTTTGACATGTGAAAAATGTTTTCTTGGCTTCAGTGATGGAGTTTCCAAGTAGGGGATCTTGCCCTTTTGTTTCTTTGGTTTGGAAGAGTTGTTTGTACCAAGCAATGGGTCAGGGGTGGTTGAGCAAGTTTGGAGCGGAGGTTTGAGTCTTGAGGTTCCTGATGTGCCCCTGCAGCTGCCCTGAGGGATATGAGGGGCGGTGGGGCCCCTTTTGGCCTGGCTTCCCAGGGCAGTCTCCTCCCACGCTCATGCCACCTCCCACACCACCCCACCTTCTCCAAACTGCCCCAGCGCCGCCTCCTGACTCACATCTCAGTCTGTGCTGACCAGTCTTTCTCAGACTGGTTCTTTGAGACCTCAGCGGGATTCTCTGGCCACTTACGTTTTGCAAATTTTGTGTATTATATTCCTCTCTTATAGATTCACAGGGCCTATCAGCATATTAGAGGACATGAAAAGTCCTGCTGAACAGGACTTCTGTGCAATTTTGTCCATCCCACTTTTTCTCCAAATAATTTAAGCATGGAACACTTACTGACATCATGCAGAACACTTTGTGGGTGGAAGGCATTTTTTGGAAACAACACCTGGCTATTTCTTGGCCAACATATTTCTAGAAAACGTGGACTTTTCAGCCCAAGGGAAGTGAGCATTCCTTCTGCTGACTTCTGATCATTCAGTCCTTCAGCCAATACAAGGAAGCTTTAAGGTAGGTTAGTTAATATCACCTCTTTGGGGACAGTAAAGATTGTTTAAGGGGTGTGTGTGTGTGTGTATGTGTGTGTGTGTGTGTGTGTGTGTGTGTGGTGTTGAAATTATGTCTGTCATCCTTGATAATAATAATATCAAGTAATTCTCAAGCAAAAGGGAAGAATGACGTGGTATAGGGTCTCCCATCTTTGATTCCATTTCAAACGTTCCTGACATTCACTGACAATTAAAAACCATAATACTAATAGTTGTGGATGGTGCTATTATTATTAATGTTTTCTACTTTTTATGGGATGCTAAATAGGTTAGTCATTGTGCAAACTCTTTACATGTATTAACTAATTTAATATTTGTTACAAACTTTAAGGGAGGTACTCTTATTTTCCTAATTTTCCTGGTGAGGGAACCAAAGCTCATGCAGTTGTATGGCTCGCTGAAGGCCACACAGTCAGTGGGTGGCCTACCACTGCTAGAAATTAAGGAGGTCTCCTTTTCTGCCCCTCTGATGCTCTTTCTATGACATCTACAAAGAAGTGTCATTTGGGCAACAATACATTTTATAACCACAGGATTCTATTAATGGATTTTTAAAAATTATGTCTTCCCCAGGATGATGAAAGTGAAAAATTATTTCAGGGTCTGAAGTGTTATGTTACTCAGGGGATTACTGTACATTGGATTTAATTGCTTAATAACTTAACGTCAAGTGGATTTTTATGATAGACTCTACTGAAGGAGAGAATCATTTTATTGTTTCTAAATTTTCATTAAGTTTTGCTTCCTAAATTGATGATAAAGGTTGGCTCTGTTGATGCTATCGGGAGGGAAAATGCATATTTTCTCTGCAAGCTTCCATCCTAAACATCCTCCTTATTATTCTTCAGATTTTCACTTAAAGGCACTGATATTTCAATTCACCCCTGAAATTCATAGCCATTGACTGTACGTGAATCTGAGAATGATTCTGAAATCCTGGGATTCAGAGATCCCATAAGTCAGGTGTATCAAGGCATAGGATTAGAGAATATGAGGGACTGTGCACAATAGGAGGTGTCTGAGGTGGTGCTGGTGGTGCTGGTGTTTGGGGCCATATTTGGTGGCAGAGATTGGACCCCAAAGCCAAGCACAAGGACCTGAAACCTCTCCCTTTATAATATATGACTTTCTATGCCTTGCTTGTGACCAAGCAGGCTTGGCTGGAACTTAGAAGTGGAAAAGAGAAGTGAACATCTGGGCCTGCTTGGAAGATGACCCCTGGGCTATGGCTATTGCTATTACTGCATAATTCAACACAACTTCCTTTTCTTTAGGTAATCTGAGACTTTCAAGAGTTTGCTCCGCACGGAGAGGAAACATTCCCAAGGCACTCGGGATGTGACAATGGAAATCTTCACGGGCATCTCCATGGATGTCCTGTTGATCCATCAATGAGAAGACCATGAGAACTTCTAATCTCGTGTGTGTTTCTGTGGTCTACAGCCATAACGCTTCTGCTTTTTTTTGTGCCATGGGAAAAACCTGAGAGGCAGGCAGGATTGCTCCAGAACGTATGACCTTCTCTGCGGTCGCAGTGGCTCTTACAGAGCATGACAAGTGTAGATTGCTTCCTCTTGCTGTATTCCAGAGCCAGACCAAAGAACGTGCTTTGCGGCTGCTTGTTTTTATTCTTGTGTCTGTTGCTCGTGTCTTTCGATCATCTTACGTAATTGCAAAACATCCTTAAACTTCTCCAGCACGACTCGTGTGCATCTGGACTCCTGGGGGCTCATCCATGGCTCAGTGAGCCAGCAGTCCCCAGGCGCTACCATGAGGCACTGCATTAATTGCTGCATCCAGTTGTTACACAACGACACACACGAACAGCAGGTCGGCTGCCGCGGAGGCCCCCATCACGGTCACCAGGTGTGCCCCACGTGCAGAGGAGAAAACAAAATTCTGTTTCGCGTGGACAGTAAGCAGATGAACTTGCTTGCTGTTCTTGAAGTGAGGACCGAAGGGAACGAGAACTGGGGTGGGTTTTTGCGCTTTAAGAAGGGAAAGCGATGTAGCCTCGCCTTTGGACTGATAATAATGACCCTGGTGATGGCTTCTTACATCCTTTCTGGGGCCCACCAAGAGCTTCTGATCTCGTCACCTTTCCATTACGGAGGCTTCCCCAGCAATCCCAGCTTGATGGATGGCGAAAACCCAAGCAACGTGAAAGAGCATCACCACCAACCCTCTGTAAATAATATTTCATACGTCAAGGACTATCCAAGCATTAAATTAATTATCAACAGCATCACAGCCAGGATTGACTTCACGACCAGACAGCTCCCAGACTTAGAAGACCTCAAGAAGCAGGAGTTGCACGTGAGTAGCCTTGTGCTAATCTCGATTGATTGATTGATTTTAAAAAATGGATGCATCCTTTTCTATCATTATTTTGGGGAGCACAGAAAAAAAATGACTTGAGAATTTCTCGGGGCTAACAAGAGTAACTTGACAGCCTTACAGATCAGAACACACTGAGAGACTGCTGTCTATTTATGCTGTAGAACACCAAGAAGGGAATTTGCTGTCTGGAACGACCCAGGTAGAAATGTTTAAGGGCTACCCCCTCTTATAATTGCTTTCCAGACTTCTCGCTTGAAATGTGGTCATGGTGATTCAAGTTGCTTTTGCAGATCACCATTATTTGGAGTTTTAAAGTTAAGCTGAACTTGATTTCCTGTTTCTATTCTGTCCTAATCAGTATTTTTGTCTTTAATGGTGACTTAAATATACAACTAGTAAAAAGATTTCAGTTCTTTAATTTAATTAGATTGACTCATGCATGTGTGTCTTGATTTCCTGTTTCTATTCTGTCCTAATCAGTATTTTTGTCTTTAATGGTGACTTAAGTATACAACTAGTAAAAAGATTTCAGTTCTTTAATTTAATTAGATTGACTCATGCATGTGTGTGTTTGTGTGTGTGTGTGGGAACTATAAATCATGGTAGAGTGGATTTTGATTAAACTTCTATCTTTATTTTCTCCCCCCAATTTTTTTTTTTTTTACTTTGGGAAAAAGGAAACATAGTCATTAGCTGTCTATCAAGTTTTGCCTTATTTTATTTTTTAATCCTTGTCAAACAATAGTTCGAATTTGAACACTGTAATCAGTATTAGGGTAGGATCATATTGCGGTTGGAATGTGTTTTTGCTGATTTTTTCCTCCTCGGTGTGTCTCTCTTCTTTTTCATTGCAGATGTTTTCAGTAATCCCCAGGAAATTCCTTCCAAATAGTAAGAGCCCCTGTTGGTACGAGGAATTCTCAGGCAGGAACACCACCGACCCCTACCTGACCAACTCCTACGTGCTCTACTCCAAGCGGTTCCGCTCCACCTTCGACGCCCTGCGCAAGGCCTTCTGGGGCCACCTGTCGCATGCCAGTGGGAAGCACTTCCGCCTGCGCTGCCTGCCACACTTCTACATCATTGGGCAGCCCAAGTGTGGGACCACCGACCTCTACGACCGCCTGCGGCTGCACCCAGAAGTGAAGTTCTCCGCCATCAAGGAGCCACACTGGTGGACCCGGAAGCGGTTTGGTGAGGGCCACTCATCCCTTCCTTCTGCACGCGGGGCTGGGCCAGGCCGTGGGGCTCCTCCACAGAGGGGGTGGGGGGACGAGAAGGTGTCCTGAGGCACGGAGAGGTCCAACACTTCACTTGGCATGAGACAGTTCACAGGCAAAGACCCATCAGGGGCTGGAGCCCAGTTCCCAGCCTCTCAGTGAGCATTGGTTGAGTGCCAGCTATGTGCAGGGCAAGGGGACTGGTGCAAGTTGGACAGCTCTTTTTGTCCTGAGGAGCCTTGGCCCGTGACCCCGCAGTGAGCAGTAAGTGCAGGGTGGCTGGCCCAGCGAGAAGAGGCCCGTTGGCTCCCAGCTCTGTGCCGTTTGGGCGGGAGCCCCTGCACCTGGAGGAGACAGAGCTGCTTTGGGAGTCAGCTTCTCTGACCTGCCCTATCTGCCTCACAGGTTCAGTATGAAAACCGCAGGGAGATAATTCTGGAGACTCTGCTCTCAGCACAAGTTTGCCACGGGCTGTCCGTGAACACCATCTGCCCCTCCTGCAGGCTGGTTACTGCTCCAGCCCAGCCCCAGGCACCCTGTGGCCCTCAGGCCTGCCTCACAGGTTCAGTATGAAAACCGCAGGGAGATAATTCTGGAGACTCTGCTCTCAGCACAAGTTTGCCACGGGCTGTCCGTGAACACCACCTGCCCCTCCTGCAGGCTGGTTACTGCTCCAGCCCAGCCCCAGGCACCCTGTGGCCCTCAGGTCACCATTTCTCCCACATAACTTTTCCCTTTTGCCAGCAGACGTCTGTTCACTGCAGGATGACAGTGGCCTGTTGTTGGCCAAAGTCCTGGCAGGACACGAGGGCGTGTTCGGCATAAAGGACACAGGTTGTCCAGAAGGGAATCTTAAACGTGTTTCTTAGACCAGCTGTTAATGTGCTTCTTGACAAATGTTTGATTTCATCCTTCTGATGTTCATCCTGCAGTGAACAGAAATGTAAGTGCTTCCTTTGTGGTTTAGCCGCGGCGGCTGTTGGAGCCAAGGTTTCAGGTCCTGACGCATTTGCCGGGCGGGTCTGATCGCTCCCCTGCGGCAGGTGCTCTCCCCTCCACGCACGCCGTGATTCTCCTTAATGAAAACCAGCTTCCCTCTGGCAGGAAAGTGGGAAGAACAGGGGCGCGCCTCTGGGACCTGGCATTCGATGTCACCTTGAACCTCTTGTTGTGACTGTGGACATTCTTTCTCCACTTTCCATTGACTTTAGCAGCTGTGGTGTTGGACAGTGTGTTTTAAAAGAATATTTGCAATTGAAATTTACCTATTCTTGAGGCAAGGGGTGAATTCAGGCTGCATGTGGCCAATGCCAGAATCCATGTCTGCCCAGGGGATGATCAATACCCCTACTATTTGGACAACTGGACAGGCTGCTTGATCAAGTAGGTCAGGAGACAGAACATCAGGGAGATGCTAGTTGGGCCCTGATGGAGAAGAGGCATTACGAGGGTTATAGGGTGCTGTCCCTCCTGTAAAGCTGCCCTTTGTCCCCTTGTCCTGTTTGATACAATGTGTGCATCCTGGATATCATTGCTGCTGGCCACTTTAGGGTCTCACCTGATGAACATGTTAACCAGCCCCAAACTCTCTGGCCCTCCATTTGTGGCTCTTGAATAGGTATGCTGCCACTGCCCAGCTTAGTGGCAGCATCTTGAAGCATGCATGGATTGAAAGAGGGCAGCCAGTTTGCAGAGGCCCAGTTGCCCCCTCCTGAGGCTTCTGTGGGCTGAGCCTTTTGCTGCTGCAGCTGGGCCCCTTGGGCCTTTCCACCTCTCTGTGGTCAGTCTCCAGGAGGCCGCCAGCCCAGCAGTGGCACCTTTGTTGTCAGTAACTCCTTCTTTTTGGTTCTCATAGGAATCGTTCGCCTAAGAGATGGGCTGCGAGACCGCTACCCTGTGGAAGATTATCTGGACCTCTTTGACCTGGCCGCACACCAAATCCATCAAGGGCTGCAGGCCCACTCTGCAAAGGAGCAGAGCAAGATGAACACGATCATTATTGGTACGGCTTCCGGGTAGCACCCCGTGGGCTGGCCCAGCTCTGCGTCACCTGCAGAGCACGTGCATGCTGGCTGCACACTTCTGCTGAGCCTCCACTTCCCCACCTGGCCATCACTCTCACCCCTGCATACAGCATTCGCATCACTTGTACAATTACTATAAACACAAATGTTTAATTGACTTTCTAATTCCATGGAGACTCAGGGACAGCTGGAATAGCTTTTTAAAAAAAGTTGTCATTTCTTTTTTTTGTTTAAATTAAGCAGGCATGCTTGACTTCTCTTCATGATCTACTGATCTGAATGAATTTGGATGCAGATCATAAATGCAATTAATTGATTAGTCATCAATTTGATACTTGAGGCTTTTGCCATCCCTGGCCACTGGGACTGTATGAAGATGGAGGTAGCTTCTCCTGAAATAGGCACAGCCCTAAAACAGTCTGTGACTAACTGCTAAAAAAAAAAAAAGCCTAACTCTTGTCAAGCTAATGCCATTGGGCATTCACAATGAAGTTGTCTGATTAGTAATCATTTTTTAAAAAATTTATAAGGATGTTTTATAAATAAACACATATATTCACTCTGAAAAATTTTTTTCTGTGTATATTTAGGTGTACATGATGTTTGATATACATATACATAATAAAATGATTACTATAGTCAAGGACATTAACACATCCATTTTCTCACATAGTTACCTTTTTCTAGTTGTTGTGGTAAGACCACCTGAGAGCTACTCTCTTGGCAAATTTCCACTGTACAATACAATATAGTCATCAAGTTGCACATTCGATCTCTAGGCTTATTCATCTTATATAAGTTCTTTTATTGGATTCATCTTAAGAGAAAATGTTTATCCATGTATACCTCTGAAAGAGAAATTTACTCACATATTTTGCTTAAATTGGTTACCTGAGGCAGTGATCTATTTTTTAATTTTCCTAGATCTATTATATTTTGATTCTCCAAATTAAATGGATCTATTAGTGATTAAGAGGAATTGTATATAATCAGCCCTTTGAAAGATGACTTTTTAGTTATGAGTGTCATGTCCAAGGGAACAGGCTTATGCGCCTAAGCCCAGATTCATTTATTTATTTTTTTAACTCAAAGAAGTCAGGTTACTGGGAGTCACCTCTAATGTGAATTGACAGTTAGCTATTCTTTTGCAAGCTGGAGGTTCCAAACACCCCAAATCATAAGTCTAACTTTCACTGTGACTCTCATACCATATGCCCCTGACCAAAATCTTATGTTCTTATGAAAGAACTAAAAATATTCATCCTAGGACCAGGAAATGGAGACTAAGATAATGAATGAAAAAGGAAAGCCTTAATTTGTTTTTTTAATTTTACTTACTTTTTTTTTTAATGTAATTTTTTTGGTGGCTGGCGAGTAATAGGGATCGAACCCTGGATCTTGGTGTTATCAACACATGCTCTGACCAGCTGAGCTAACCAGCCAGCCCTTTACTTGCTTTCAGATTTTAGAAAGAACAAGAACCAAAATTATTGTGCTGATATTTCCTTAAAGCAGGGTTTGGTGAGTGTCGTGGAGGCCTTGCGGTGTGACAGGCAGGTGGAGAGGCCGATGAAGAGCTGGCATCTAGCTCTCCTGTGCCACCAGCCAGCTCTGGGCTGTGTGACAAGTCAGTCTTCCTGAACTCAGTTCACACATCTGTAAAATGGGATTGTTGGACCAGATCTATTCCAGGCTCCTGCCAGCCCTGAAATGTGATTCAGCTCTGCTTCAGCACTTCCTCCTGGTTAGATCCTTGGCAGAGGGTCTTTCATTGTCTTGGGCTCCTGGGTCAGAGAGGGCCTTTCCTCAGCAGTCTGCAAACAGCTAAAGGCACCCAGGACTTAGGACTCAGGCAGCTGGGTTCTGTCGGGCAGGGGCTCCAGATGTGTCTCAAGACCCCTGCCTCTGCTCTTGTGTGCACGGCTCTGCAGCCCTGCCTGGTCCCAGCACCACATGAACTGTCTTTCCTGCCCTTAGATAGTAAGGTCTGAGAGTGAAGGAGCCACACCTGTCTTGCTTCATTCACCTGTCCGCAGAGCCAAGCACAGTGCAGGCCACAAATTAAATGCCAAATGAGTGCTTTCTGGATGGATGAAGTATGGATGGATGGATGGATGGATGGATGGATGGATGGATGGATGGACGGACAGACAGGTGGATGGTCAAATGCTTCTGTGATTCTAAAACCATCTCAATTTTGAGATGTGACAGAAGTTGTGCCAATTTAGCTTCAGATACTTCACTCATCCTTTATATTCCCTTATTCATTGCGAGTGGAATTTTCAAAGGACTTCTGATTGACTTGTCTTTTCTGTATCAGGGTATTATATCTTAAAAAAATAAAAAAAGAAGAAAAGGCTAGAACAGAAATGTTCACCTGGGCGTGATTACACGTCCGTCAGAATGAATAGGGCCCTGCTAACTTCCTGCATTCTTAACGATGCACTTATCCCTGACCAGAGAGACTTCATCTTTTGGCTCAGATTTTCCCCAAATGAGTGACTTTGAGACGTGTCATATAGTTCCTATGCAAAATGCAAGGAAATCAAGTGTAGAACTGATTGATTGATGTGCTTTTCTTTTCTAAATCTCTGAAGACTGTCCTAAAAAAAAGAAAAGTTGGGAAATTGGTTATCTGAGCGAGTCAGCGTGGTTGAAATGTTTGTGTCTTGGCCTTGCCTCTGCCCTAGAATGTATGCTTAACGTTTTCATCCTTCAGTCACGCAGACCACGATAAAACAGGGCTCAGGCACCAATTCCCGCTCACACAGTCAGCTCTGAGTGAGCACCAGCTGTGTGCAGAGCAAGGGCCGGTGGCAACGGACAGATGGACGTGCTGCCTCTGCACGCCTTCCTCTCACTGGTTCTGAGAGTGTGCCTTGTGACTGACTAACCCTTATGGTTTCAAGGAAAGACAGGCTCAAACTGCATCCAGTTTCCTAAGGAGGGTCAGCTTCCCCAAACTACTCCTTTATCCTGGTGCTTCGGAAGGAAACCATCTAGCACATTCTTAGTGGGCCCTTAAAATGCCACACAGCTATGCACCCTGAGCGAAGTTAAATATTGTGAAATTAGGGGACCAGATGCTAGTTAAGGTTTTATTTTTGCTCACCGTGGAGAGAGGAGCTGGGTGGGAGGTTCGCTCAGTGTTGTGTGTTTTGCCTTGATTTCCAGAGGTCCTTGGGGTGGGGTGGGAGTGTCACTGCACAGTGGGTGGGCATCAGTCAGTCCCCCTCTGCCTGGAGTCCCATGTGCCAGCGATGGCTCACCAGCTCTCTGAATGGCTGCTTCAGAGGGAGGTGTGGGAGCCAGGCTCGGCCACTCACACCCAGGGCCACTCTGTGGGCCCCTCTCCCGCGACTGCTCACGTGCGCTGTTTTCTCTTTCTAGGGGAGGCCAGCGCCTCGACCATGTGGGATAACAATGCCTGGACCTTCTTCTACGACAACAGCACGGATGGGGAGCCGCCGTTTCTGACCCAGGACTTCATCCACGCCTTTCAGCCAGATGCCAAACTGATCGTCATGCTCAGGGACCCCGTGGAGAGGTGAGTGGTTTCTGTGTTTTGTGTTTGGGGTGGAGAGAAAAGGCACTTTTGAAGCATTTCCTTCTCATCACACACAAGTTTGTGCCTCTTTTTTAAAAAAAAACAAACAAGCTTAACTGGCAATGTGAACGCTATTTCTTATGTAAATGTTATTCTTGGGGCAGTCCTCACTGTGTTTAAACAAATTGTAGATTGTTTTCTTAGCCATTCTGACCCTGCTCTGTGGACCTTGGGTCACTGGCGGGGTTGACATGGGGGCCTGGGTGGCTCCTTGGGCTTGGAAAGCACGTTTAGAAGCAGGAGTGTCGGGGATCTCCGGGAGGTTTAACTCCCAGAATTCCATGTCTCCCAGCTTGGTTGGTGCCTTTGTCCTTGTCAGCTCTGGGTGTGTAGTATCCAGCTTTCCTCGAGAGGCTGATAGTAGGAAGAAAGATGGACAAGGTTGCTTTGCCTTTAAGATCTGGGGTCACCATGGCTCTGTTCCCGCAAACATTTGAGAACCACTGGTCTCTAAAGGAATGTTGCAGAGGGAGGGGAGGCAAAGAAAGTGGACTTGCTTTTGCAATATATTTTGCAGGAATTTTTCTTCTAAATCTTGACCATTCTGACTATTTCCCACGTCTGAGCTATGGCTCAGCAAAGGCAGAGGGGTCAGGGGGAGACAGGTTATCTTAAAAGTTCTTTGAAGAATCGGGTGATTGTCATTGGTATTTTGAGTTCTTGGCAAAATGTATGTAGAACATTTTGAAATTCAGTGAACAATTAATAAATAGATAATTATTTGAACAACAACCAAAAAAGATCAGGGGTTGACCAGTATGGATGAGGCGAAGCTAGAGTGATATTGAACAGATGGTACCCAGGTGGCCTTGTCAGTGCTGGGCAATACTTAGATCATTGCTGATGTCCCTGTGGAGTGCAGAATCTCAGGGCTGCCGGGACCTTACACTTATTTAGTCTGACACTCCTTCCAAATACCAGCACATCAGAGATAAGGGGGAGCCCCCAGTGTGGTCCATGGCCCTTTGAGACAGAGAGTTCCCCAGCCAGGATGGCTCAGGACAGTTCTGTTCTTCCTGTTGTGACTATGTCTGTCTTTGGGGAGCATCCACACTGTGATCCTATTTCTTCTCCAGAAAGCCACAGAGACCAAGTCTAATCCTTCCAAAATGGAACAGCCTGCCAGATGTGTAAAAGACAGTGGCCAAGGCCCTTTGTGTCTTATTTTCCTTTGGCCTAACTATGTCCTGTTATGAGTTGTATGATGCCCCCCAGAGAGATATGCTCAGGTCCTAATCCACAGTATGTGTGACTGTGACTTTATTTGGAAGTAGGGTCTTTGCAGATGTACTCAACTTAAAACGAGGTCATATTGGGCTAGGGTTGGGAGATGCCACGTGAAGAGATGGAAACACTCCTGCCATAGCCAGGGGATGCCGAGGACTGTGGGCAGCCACCAGAAACTAGGAGGGGGCGTGCAACAGTCTCCCTCAGAGCCCCCAGAAGGACCCAACTGTGCCAGCTCCTGGATTTCAGACTCGCAGCTTCTAGAACTATGAGGGAGTAACTTCCTGTTGTGTAGCCACCAGTTTGTGGTAGTTTGTTACAGCAGCCCTGGGAACCTCACACCCAGCTGAGTCCTTTCTTGGGTGGCGCGCCTTCCTGGCCCCACATCCTTGCCAACTGTAACAGGACGGCATGTTTGTTGGGGAGATTTTAGAAAATACATTGGAAATCTATAAAGGAAAACTTTTTCCAAAAACACCTATAATCTCCCACTCAGATAACTACTATTTATATTTTGGTGTATTTTCTTCCAGATTTCTTTTCTATGCAGATAAATATATAAGTGTGTGTGTGTGTGTGTGTGTGAGAGAGAGAGAGAGAGAGAACGAGACCGTGTGAACATACAGTCTTGTGTCTTGCTGCTTTCATTTCTACTGTTGTCCCCAAAGGATCTGCCCTGGTCACATTTCCTGACTGATCTCCACACCCCTCTTGAGGGTTCTCAGAATGGGTCCTGCTCCTCTGAGTATGACCTGGGCAGAGGAGAGTGGGGTTGTCCCCTCCCTCAGCCTGGGCATCCAGCAGCCTGAGCACATGGTGGATGTCCCTGTGCCACACCATGGGCAGGTGTCACGTGTGCTTTCTCTCTCTGCTCTCTGTGCACCTTCCACTCTGCTTCCGGGGCAGCCACTGAGCTCGGAGCAGCTCTGGTGTCCCACCTGCTGGTTCCCACGCTTTGCCGGTGGGAATTCGGCCTCATGGAGCGGGCTGGCCTCACTCAGCCTGAGAACAGTCGCCACGGCCCCACGGTGCTCTTGTGTAGACGTGACACATAACCGCCAGCCTGGCGGGGAAAGGCGCACTGACTGAGCTGAGCCCTCGCCGCCCGCCCACATGTTGTTACAGCTGCCCCGTGCAGACCGCCCCAGCAGCCCCCAGCTGAAGTTCACAAGGTTGGAACGGTCTCTGCGGAGTGTGCTTTCTGCTCTGCAAGTGCCTCCCGTTGCTTCTCCCTGCCTCGTTCTGAGGAAGGTCAGCCTCTGCCTCAACCTCAGGGGCTGGGAGAGTGGAAACCGCAGCCTCGGTAGCTCTCTGGGCACAGAGAGGTGGGGACCGGGCTGTCTGGACTTGGTCCTGTGTGTACCAGCCTGTCCTGGGCCCTGGGGAGGCAGGAACTCCTGGCCCGGCCGTGGTTTGTTGCAGTCCTGCAGCCTCAGCAAGAGCAGAATGGAAGGGAGAGGGGCGAGCTCCTGGGGGGAAGGGCCGGAGAGGCTGGAGCTGGAACAGCAGCTGTGGGGCTGGCTCTTCAAGGATGCTACCAGCATGCCAAGTAGGGCAGGAACGAGGGTCAAGGGGAGAGGCGTTCTGGCAGAGAGAACGGGCAATACCAAGGTAAAGACCATGTGCCTCTTGTCAGAGAGTGGAGCCATGTTCCCTGAGAGAGTCCCTTCTTCCTGGAGTTCTGGTTCCACCTCTGAGGACACAAGCAGCATAAAGCCACAAGGACAGTGGTGCCGTCCAGGTTCAGATGCTCAGCCGCCCGTTGGATTGGACCAAATTGTTCTTTCCCTTCTACACATTGGCTTGGAGGGGGGAAAACAAGCTTTTATTTCTAGTTTTAGATTCACATTTAGCCTTTATTTCTGTAATTGATCAAAGGTAGAGGTTTGAAAACGTCGAAATTGTAGGAAAACTCAAATCCTGTTTAAGTTTGCAGAGAAGGATGTAAATAGTAAGTTCATTTTTATTTATTTTTTCCCTGGAGGAGAACAGGGGAGTAATGGAAGGAAGTGTAGGGAATGGTTCCCATGCTCAAGGAGGCCAGGAATTCGTGTTCCAAGCTGCTTTCCGTAAGAGATCACCAGGTTTAAAACCAAAGCGGTGCATTCCTATGCTAAATAAGCCCAGTTCATTAAAAAGAAGCCACCAATTACAACAGAATTGTTCTTCCTCTAATCCCATTCTTAAGTGGTAGGGACTATTCTTTTCAATACATCTCACATTAGCCTCCTGCCTCTTCATTTGTGAGATGGTTGCTAGAGTTTGCCTCTTAATTCGGAGGCAGTCACAACCCCATTAAATGTGAAAAATGGCTGGAAGGTGCTGGCCCCTCCAAACCAGTTGCTTTCCTTCATCTCACATTAGCCTCCTGCCTCTTCATTTGTGAGATGGTTGCTAGAGTTTGCCTCTTAATTCAGAGGCAGTCACAGCCCCATTAAATGTGAAAAATGGCTGGAAGGTGCTGGCCCCTCCAAACCAGTTGCTTTCCTTCCTCATGCAAGCGATATTGGGAATGGGGTCATGCATCATCTGTTAAGGACTTTACAGCGTCTATATTTTGGTTTTAATTCTGCGTGTTGTCTTCATGCAATGCCCAGAAGTGACCACCACAGGAACAGTTGGTATTTACATTTTATGATGATGAGTCAAAGGGGAAGGCGCCCAGTTAAGGATTAGAACTTGATTCTGACCCAAACCCCTCGAGCCTTGGAATCTGGGTAGTTGTTTTTTTTCATCTGCTCATATAAAGTGATTTTTTAACAACCCCCTGGACTGGTTAGATAATTAATCTATTTATGATGATAAACTAGGAAGAGAACAAGGCTTTTAATGAGATTTGTCCATTTATATTCAGTCACTCATTGGGACACAGAGTAATGATGGGCTAAACGTTTGGGCAGGAATCCTGATTTCACTGATTTCCCTCCATCTGCAGAGTGCGGCGTGTCGGTGGAGAGCAGCTTCCACCTGCTGAGTGTTTGGGAGCTGTTGTCACCGGGACAGACACAGACTCTGGCATCACTCACATACAGCCTGAATCTGTCCCTTGCCTTCAAAATGGATAAACGTCAATTGCAAACATTTAAAAAATACAGCCTGGGGGGCCCAGATGGTCTTCATTCCAACCCCAGCTCTGCCACCCCAGCTCTGCGACTTGGAGCAAGTAACTTAACCTCTCTGTGCCTCTCATTCCCTCATCGGTGAAATGGGGGACAATGATCCTACCTTTAGGGTTGTGAGAATTAAATGACTTAATACGTGTAGTAACATGTTTAAACAGTGCTGGACAAATGGAAAATATTATATGATTACTAGCTATTATTATTTATATGAGGTATCAGTAATAGCTAATAATAATGATAATAACCAAACCGATTACTCATTGACTCACTCACCAAATATTTATTGAGCACCCTAGACATGGTATGTACATCGGAGAACAACATCCATCCTGTCTGCCCTCATGGAGCCCACGTGTAGTTGAAGCGGCAGGGACAGGCCTCTGGTGAGTGATGGGGCATTTGCTGAGCACGGGCTGCAGCCTGGTCCGTGCCCAGCCCTTTTCAGGCCTTGCCTCATCTGTGCTTTGCAAGCAGTGAAGAGCTGTTGTGATGAGTTCGCAGGTGAGGCATGTGGTCTCGGTAGGCTTAAGTCTCCTCCCCAAAGTCCCACGGTTAGTACTGTGGCCAGGTTGGGATTCTATCCCAGGTGGGTCTG